TGGTCTGAGGAGTTTACTTCAAGTGAGATTCTCCTCTTTGTGGTTTTAAAATGTTTTAATTTAATGATTCACTTTTGTTAACCAACATTTTTCTATTTCTCTCATCAGTCCAACGATACTATACCAAGAAATTAAAAAGTAGTTTGGAATTTCCATAACTGGAGAAAAAAATGAAAGACAAAAACCAACTTATTTTTAATTTTGGTCTGAAAGAGGTAACTGCACTCATATGGTATTTGTGTTGAGCTACTGTAAAAGATGATTGATATTAGTATAGGGCCCTGCAGTCAGTGACAACTATGGATGCTTGACTGATTTGAACAGTAATTAACATGCCGAGAAAGCTTAGTAGATAAGTTTCAGTGTTGTCCTGAAACCAGCACAATGTAGTCTTTGAACCACATAAATTAAAATAGTCTCAGATTCTCCTGTAAATGGTAAGTTTCTGAACTTCTTTGTAGTTTTTTTTAAAGTAATACCATCAGTATGGTATTAATAAGTACAGAAATAGCAGTTGACAAAATGAAGCACTCATTTATGATTTTAAAAAGAACTCTCAGTGAACTAGTATTAGAGGGAGCTTCCTCAACTTCATGACTATACAGAAACCTAGAGCTAACACCATGCTCAAAGCTTTCCAACTAAGATCAGAAGCAAGTAAAGAGTGTCCCCCTTTCACCAGTCCTCTTTAGCATGCTTAAAGTCCTTGTTGATGCAATAAAACAAGAAAAGAAAAGAAAAGCATACAGATTATAAAGAAAGAAAGAAAATCATCTCTGTTCACAGACAACACGATCATCTATGCAGAAAATCCAAAAGAATTAGCCAAAACAAAACCAAAAAACCTTTTGGAACTAATAACCAATTACAATGAGATTTCAGGATACAAGGCTAATATAAAAAAAATCAACTGCCCTTTTATATACCAGCAATAAAGAAATAGAATTTGAAATTAAAGTACAGTATAATTTATATTACCACTCAGTAAAATGAAATACTTCAGTATAATGTGTATAAGACCTATATGAGGAAATCTATAAAACTAATGAAAGAAATCAAAGAAAAATAAATGGAGATATATTTGATATATTCCATGTTTATAAATGGAAAGACTCAATATTGTCAAAATGTCATTCAACTTGATCTAGAGATTTAATGCAATCCCAAGCAAAATCTCAAGAAGGCATTTTATGGATACATATCACCAAACTAATTCTAAAGTTTTTATGGAGAGCCAGAAGTAACAGAATAACCAAAGCAATACTGAAGAAAAACAAGTTGTTTTTGTTGTTACCCAAGTGTATTTGAATTACTTATTGAGTTAATATTTACTGTATTCATATATTATTTATTGGATTACTTATTGATGTTACCTAAATTGAAGGCATGTAGGCAAGTAGAATAGACTAGAGAATCCAGAAGTAGGCTCATATAAATGTAGTTAACAGATCTTTAACCAAGGACCAAAGGCAATATAGTATGCAAAGATAGTTTTTTCAACAAATGTGCTAGAAGAATGGGACATCCACATGCAAAAACATGAACCTGAATACAGACTTAAACCTTTTACCAGTATTAACCCCCAAAGGATCACAGACCTAAATGTAAAATACAGAACTGCAAAACTCATAATATAAATGAAAACTTTCATGACCATGAGTACATTGATGGCTTTTTAGGTATGATACTAAAGGTACACTCCATGAAGGGAAAATTGCTAAGCTAGAATTAATTAAAATTAAACATTTCTGCTTTGTGAAAGAAACTGTCACAAGAATAAAAAGAGAAGCCACAGTCTGGGATTAAATATTTACAAAAGATGCATCTGATAAATAACAGTTCCCCCAAATATACAAACACTTAAAACTCAACAATTAGAAAGCAAGTCTATTTTTAAATGGGCAAAAATCCTGAATAATACCTCAACAACAAAGACAGAGATGGCCAATAAGCATATTAAAAATTTTCCACATCATATGTCATCAGGGAAATACAAATTCAAACAACAATGAGGTTCCAGTGTACACCCATTAGAATGGACAAAACCTAGAAATTGACAACACAAAATGGTGACAAAGATATGAACAATAACAGCTCTTCTTATTCATTGCTAGTAGGAATGCAGAAAGGTACAAATACTTTCGAAGATAATTTAGTTTTATTTTGGTTTGGTTTTCTTTTACAAAATCAAACATAGTCCTACTATACATATCAGTTAGGATTCACTAGAGGAACAGATTTAATATAAATGATATATATTTATATAATTATGTAAAGAATTTACAAGGCAGGTTTACAGTGGCTACCTGCAGAAAAGAGGGATGGAAGGATGTAAAATGGCCATATGCGTGCTTGGGAGCCAGAGGTTCCAGTCAAAGGTTAAAGGCCTAGAACTCACTGAAGAGTCCCATACAAATTCATGTTGGAAAGCTAAAGGGGATGCAGTGGAAGGCTAAAGAATCTATTCTGGAAGCTTAAAAGAACTGGAGACAAACATCCAAAGGCAATGACAAAGACCAAAGCTCCTCTGAAGAAGAAAAGGAGAGATTTCTTTCTTTCTTTTTTTATTCCACCCAGGCTACGAACCTATTGGTTGGTACCACACACAGCTGGGATAGGTATTTCCTTTTCAGTTTGTGACCTACACATCAGTCACCCACAGACACACCCAGCCTTCACTAATAGGCTGTTTTTACTCAAGTCATTTTGGCATGTCACAATTACCAGTCACACCATATGATCCATCAGTTTCCCACTTTGGTATTTATCAAAGGAAGTTGAAAACTTATATCTACACAAAAACCTGAACATGGGTTTATTGGCAGCTGTATTCATAATTACCAAAACATGGAAGCAACCAAGGTATCTTTTAATAGGTAAATAGGTAAGCAAACTGGTGAAATATACAATGAAATACTATTAAACACTAAAAAGAAACTGTCAAGAGTATGAAGGACATGGGAGACCTCTAAACGCATACTACTAAGTGAAAGAACCCAATTTGAAAAGACTATGTACTGTTTGATTCCCAATAGGTGACATTATAGAAAAGGTAAAATGATGGAGATGGTAATAAGTGATTTTCAGGGTTGGTGGAAGAGACAGATGAATAGGCAGAGCACAGAGAATTTTTAAGGTTGCAAATTACTCTCTGGGATAATTTAGTGGTAGGTACATGTTTTTATAAATTTTTCAAGACCCATTCTGTGTACAACTCTCAGAATAAATCTTAATGTAGACTAAGGACTTCAGTGATTATGATGAGCAGATTCATCAGTTATAACAAATGTTTCACACCGGTGGAGGATGTTTGTAATGGGGAAGCTTGTGCATGTTTAGTCAGTCCACCTTCCTCTCAGTTTTACTGTGAACCTAAAACTACTGTAAAATATAAAGTCTATTAAAATATGAGAAAATCAGAAGATGAATAGAAAAGTTCCAACATATGCCTAATATGTGTTCTCAAAAGAAGAAATATAACAATAAGAAAGAGGCAAAATTTTGAAGACTTAATAAGACGTTTTCTATAAGCTGAAGAAAGACAGATTCGCAGGTAGTGTTCCAGGTGGTAAATGTGAGGGATAATAATAAATTTAATGCTATTTGCATTATAGTGTCACTACTACACTATGTGACACATTTTTTTGAAATAAAAATAGTGCCCTCTGACAGTAATTTTCTTTTAATTTCACAACTTATACAAGTGACCCTGAGCTTGGTCTTCAGTACCCACTTGACATTTTAGGCATATTTCTTGGTGCAAGGCAAGAAATACACAGCTGTACATTGTTCAGCCTAGATAAAAAATGCAATAATTAAATTACAAATTATTTTAAAGATTTTCAGCAAAAGATATAGCCATCAGAGGTAAAAGATAGCTCACAGATGGGAAAAAATTTTGCTAGCTACTCCATATTATTATTCATATTAGAGAACTAATATCAAGAATATATACAACAACAAATTATATCCCTCAAAATAAAAGACACAATCAAAAAATGGGCAACTGAAATAGACATTCTCCAAAGAAGTACAAATGTCCAATAAGTACATGAAAAAATGTTCAGTGTCTTTTGCCAGATAGAAATTAAAATCAAAATAACAATGAGATCCATCTTAACACAATATGAATGACTATGATTAAGGACTCAAAAAACAACAAATACTGGCAAGGTTATAGGGAAAAAGAAGTGCTTCTACACTGTTGATGTGAATGTAAACTAGTATAATCACTATGGAATTCAGTATGGAGATTCCTCAAAAGATAAGAAATAGAAATTCCATTTGACCTAGGAATTCCTCTACTGGATAAATATTCAAAAGAGTTGAAGGCATCATTGCACAGTGATACATGCATACTAATGTTTAAAGCAGCCCAATTCACAATAACTAAATTATGGAAACAGCCTATATGACCATCATTGGATGAATGGATAAAGAAAGTATGGTACACAATGAAATACTACTCTGCCATTAATAAGGATAAATTTGAGTCAGTTTTAGGAAAATGATGATTTCTGAGACCACAATGCTAAGTACAAGAAATCAGACACAAAAGGATAAATATTGCATGGTTTCTCCTAAATGATAAACCAAAAATACATGATTTAAAGAGCAAAATGAAAGAGAGATGGTAGGAAACAGAGAGATAGACTTTGTAGAGAAGGGCAGAGGATCTGGGGAAATAAAAATTATAAAGATGTGATATGTATAAGTACAAATTCCCCAAGATACATGTAATTATTTAATAATTCATACATATACCAAACAGCAAAAAATAAAATAATCTAAAAAGATTTTCTACAAAGAAGGAGCAATTTAACTGACTAGATCTTTTAAATAGTTGATATACTTACTAGAAGATAGTAGAATCAACTCTTTTAATGCTGATGAATAAGAACTTAATCTGACACTCTATACAACACTAAATTATGACTCAAACATGAGGATAAAGTGTAGAAAGTTTTGAACAAAGACTAACAGAATTTGCTTCTTTGCAGATTCTTCCTGAGAGAACTACAAAAGAATGGACTCCGGGCAGAGAAAAAGTGAATCCAAGGAATGGAGTGGAATATAAGCAATAACGGTGAGTGAAGCTAGTAGAAAAATATATGCATTTAATTATAATGTAAAACAAATTATGTTGAAAAAATTAAAATTAGGGCTACTTAATTTATTGCAACTAGACTTTCTTGTCATATGGTTTTAGCTATTTTAGTTTACTGATTTATTTTCCCCCACTATTAGCTGCTTCTTGCTCACATTAGCCAAGCATCACTACATGAAGAAAATATAGTAGGTCCTCAAAAATGTTTTGTGAATGAATAAGTGTCTTCTCATTTACATTTTAAGAAAGTTTCTGATGAAAGACAGCATTTTACTGGGGATAAGTATCAGGAGATATGTTTTAGCTTTTCTCTCCCTTCAATCCTTCTATGTTCTGGAAGGCATCTCTTCAACTTTTTAAAGAAATCTGAAATAGAGGATATAAACCTTGTTTCAATTAAAAGAAGATAATATGCATAGTTGTACAATATGTTTGAGATGTTCATTTTTCCTCTCATTATATATCTTACTACCAAATAGCTCGGTAAATATTTCAAGTATATGCAATCCAAAAGGCAAAAGTAGTATGCAAGCCCTCTTGGATTTTTTCCAAAAAACAAAAATAAAAGTAAGGAACAAGAGGAATAGATGAATGAGGCCAGAAAAAACATCTGAAGATGCAGGTATGACCTTCTTAGCAGAAGTCTGTAGTACCCCAGTACAGAATACCTACATGGTCTATCTAGGCATACTGCGCTAAACGGGAGCCTCAAAAGCATTTTTATGAAATGTTCATCACTTAAAACCCCTAGGCCACAAGGGGCTATATGGATAGGAAATCATCAAAGGATTACTAATCATCGAATTACTAATAAGTATTTGAGTAACTTCTCCAAAATGCTTGGGGCTAATTTGATTCTGAAAGTAAGAATAGGTTGAAATAGTAATAATAATGATCAAGAATGACAAAATTGATTTGTCTTCTACCTCAATGTGTAAATAAAGAAAAATTAAGCTCATTTGAAAAGTTATGAAGAATATTATACAGTAAGTCCGCAACTTACAAATGAGTTCCATTCTGGGAGAATGTTCATAAGTCGGAGTTGTTAAAGCCCTGCAAAGTGAGTCTTACTCGCCTTTGACACAAATATGCAATGTATATTGCTTTGTGCTTCTTAGCAGTCCCCTGCACATAGTCACTGCTTTTCCTCTTGCTTCCGGACGTCCTGGGCTCTGATTAAGCACCAGAGTATATACACTACCGCCCTGTACAGTAAGCACACACCGGCACAACTGTGACAATGTCTGGCAGTCACATGAGCTACTTCCAGGATTTGTTTACGTCTATGAAGGTTTGCAGTGCCGGGTCCTTTGGTGTATGTGAAATTTCACAGTGCAAATGTTTGTAAGTCAGGGACTTACTTATTCTTAGATGAGAATTCAGTTTTTCCCTAATGAATGTACAAGTCTACACAATAGCAATGCAGAAAATTATATTCTTGTTATGTTCTTACCAGAACATAGTGATTAAAAAAAGAAGCTGTAGCCAGGCATGGTGGTGCACATTTATAATCTCAGCTACTCAGGAGACTGAGGCAGAAGTATTACAGATTTGAAGCTAGCCTAGGCAACTTAAGGAGATCCTTCTCAAAATTTTTACAAAAGCGTATTTTTGAAACAATGGCATAGAGAATTTGGGGAATTATTTGAAATCCCTATTTCCTATATATTTGTCTTCTATTTTGGTGAGGGGGATATAACTCAGTGGTAGGAGTGCCTCTGGCTTCAATTCTACTATCTGAAAAGAAGAAGGAGAAGGAAAAGAAGGAGAAGAAGAAGGCAGAGGGGGAGAGGGAGGGGAAAAAGAAGAGGCTGTGATTAAAAATCATGCGTCCGGGCCGGGGATTTAGCTCAGTGGTTTCGTCGCCTGCTGCGCAAGCGCAAGGACCCGAGTTCGAGCCCCGGTACCAAAAAAAAAAAATCGTGTGTCAGGCAGGGATTTAGCTCAGTGGTGCTGTCACCTGCCTCTCAAGCACAAGGTCCCAAGTTCAATCCCCGGTACCAAAAGAATAAATAAAATTAAAAAATAAAGTTTAGATGGAGAGGTAACTTTGTAAATAAAAAAAAATAGTCTTGTGTCTGCATCTTAAACAACCTAGGATAAGCTTCAAAGAATAATTTTTGGGAATATAGTTCTCTGTGGATTTCTCTTTTAGGTTCTTCAAGAAATACATCTTAAGTTGAAAAAATTTACTTCTTGGTTTAGCCTGGACAATAGTAATTTTAAAAACATTTCTTGGTTAAGAGTAATTGCAAAAACAGTTCTTGATTAAATAGAAAACACATATTTTAAAAATTTAATAATATTTTAA